GTTCGCCCAGTGGTACAAAAGTGGCCCGAGGTTGATCCAGACGCCGCCCGGCTTGAGCATGCGCTGGATCGCTTCCATGTACTCGATGACGTTGGGCGCCGCGTCGATGAAGAAGCACGTCACGATGCAGTCCCACGTGTCTAGCGCCCATGAGTCTTTCGACTTGAATATGCGGTGGAGCCTACCGACGTCGTCTGCGTACACTTCCAAGAACTCGCCCGCGCACATGGAGAACGTGCGCTCATGGCCTAGTCCGTCGAGCATGTTAGCGTCCATCAAGCGCAAGGAAGGACAGCATACCGCTGCTCACAGCATCGAGAAGCGAGGCAGGGGCAACGTCCGGGATCGTCACGGGGCGGCTAAAGTCTTCAAAGCGCATGACGTTGCACGGGTTGTCGATCCACGGATGCAGCGTGAACGCATGCGGCTCGGTCGCGCTATCCCATCGCCTAAGACAATCGCCGAGGAAGACAGGGCAGTCGCACCAGTTCAAGATGAAGTTGCTCGTAAAGAGCATTTGGTACGAAAACTCGTTGCCTTCGGTGACGTAGCCCATCGCGACGATCTCGAGCGCCAGTCGTCCGAGGCCGGCACCCGGCACGAGCACCTTTTGCTGGTACCTATGCATACATGCATGAGACACGTACTCGCAGAAGCATGCAGCCCGACTTGTTGCTGGCGTTGACGGGCAGCACGCGCTTGAGCTCGTCCAGGATCGGCTTGTAGCACTGCTCGCGCTCCTCGGCGCCCTACAGGACACGCATAAGATGTCGAGCGTAGTAGTCGCATACCTCTTCGGCCCAGTCGCGGACACATTGGTGCAGCGTGCTCTTGAGCTTCGAGTAGTGGCGGTAAGGCGTCTTGAGTGGCTCCTTGAAGTTGATATGGTTGGGAAGGGCGACTTCGGGGCCGTAGCCCTTCTGCATTTCGCAAATGTCGTCCCAGAACACTTGGTTCGTCTTGGCACAGCGCTACAAGACGTGTACATGAGCCATCCTGCCAGTCATCGTCGTCGTTGGCCGTACCATCATGGCCGCAATGTTGGCCTTCTTGGTCTCGTCCGGAAGCAGGCCCAGGTGCTTCTCGCTGAGGCGCTTGAGGTGCTGCTTCTTGCGGAAGGCCTCGCGCCAGACAAAGCCCTCGTACTCCTTCATCGAGAGGAGGACCTCGGTGTAGTGCTCGAGCTCTTCGCGGTCCATTGCGCTCCAACAACGCTCGCCAAAAATGAAAAACCGAGTTATAACAAAGTGGATTCAAATCTAGCATGTTATAACAGTGCGCGGCTTGACGTTGCCTCGAGATCACGCGCACCTTGTCCGCGGATCGCATTGCCAGCGCCGTTCCTCAGCCGAGTGTACATGACGAGGAAAGTCCGACTGAGTGTCAAGTCGAGCGCGTTTGATCTACTCGATAGAAGACTCGCTGCAGCAACACCAACACCGTGAAGGTAACCAAGACAAGACTATAGCATTCAACGTAGACGTTATAGAAAGGACTTGAGGCGGCGGCGAGGCGGGCGTGTTGGTATCAAATCCGTCAAAGCGCTCGAGATCGAGACGAGAAACGCGCAAAGGACACCAGAGACTTGACCGCCAAGTGGGCTTGCTAGTAAAAGGCGAGCACAACGTTGCCAATCGCGATGGCAGTCACCAAGGCCATCTCAAAGCGAGCAACGTCCGAGTGGTGATCAACCCAAAGCGCATAGAAAGCGCAGGTCACAGCAAACACGACGAACGTAAGGCCAAGTGTCACAACATGCTTCACGCCTGCGCTTCATGATCGGGATCGTACGACGTGTGCCAAGGATCGCGACCTGTCGTAATGAGCCCGAAGGCGGCCACAGCGAGCAAAAGAGAGAGCGACGCATCGTCGTCCATGGTTAAACCAAAAGTGAAAAGCAGCGCCTGCTGACCAGGTCCAACTTTCGAAGCTTGTGGCCCGACAAAAAGAGAAGGGTGTTGAAAAAAGAATGCAACCTCTGCATGCCACGTCATCGTCAAGGCAGCGTTTGCACTAACCGCTAGCTGGAGCTCCTACGATGCGACCGAGCACGCTACGCATAGCAGGGATCATGGATCGCTTGCCCCACGCCTGCCTTGACGCCGCACCAGCAGCCTGAAGGGATCAGAGAGGTGGGCACCCTCCATGGCTCTAGCAGTTGCTCTAGTGCTAGAGAGCGATGGGTACCGGCGCATCGTGCTTGCCGAGGGGTTCTCCGCCGTCTCGTGATATTACCCACATCAACTGATCTGGTACAACTATATCCCAGTACCATCAGAGGTCACGGGACTACTGCCCAATGGTCAGTGGCTTCGAGGCCAAGGCCACGTTCGAAGACCACCTGCAGCTCTGTACACCCAACTGTAGCTCCATTGTTTGATTCCGCAGCCCTAGACTCGACTGCGTCAGGTGTCACTGTACAGGTTCACGAGGGCGCAGTTGGAAGCGTGACCCACCGTCGTCGACACGCACCTTCGAGAATGCGACCCTGGCAAGGGGCAAGGAGCAATCGTTGACGCCATCACAAACCTTGACGCATTCGCCACACATCCGATGTTCTTTCTCCCTGCATCTCTGCTGCGAAACGTCACAGTACAACCAACGTGAACGCGAGCCATCTTGCACGCGCTCCTTCCTATTGCGCAGTAGTAGAGCACTACTAGCTCCGTTTGATCCTCTTCAACCATCGCACCGCTCGAGCACCTCAGTCTTTGGATCAAAAGATCGGTTTTGGACACCAATGATTGGTGCAATGTGTCTGAGATGCGTAACTGCAAATCCAAATCACCGCGCGTTGCAGTTGAAAAACAGTCCACGAATCATTTCAGAGAACGTCGCTTGCTTGGCCATAAATTTAGAACCTCGAGCGTCAACGCGCCTCCTGAAGCCCGACTCGTGGTATCTGAAGCAAACGACTGATCGAGACCATGGTGGTTCGCGACTTGCCGTGGAACAGCACGATGTATGTGGGCGTTGTATCGGAGTGCTTGTCACGTACTCTCGAATCTTGGCGGTCGTTTACGCCGGTATGATTGGTGTTGGAATGAGTCTAATGCGACATTCATTCCAACGGGTTTCGATATTTTACAGGGCGGGCCTCGAGCACTTTCAGCGTGCAAGTTGAGCAAGGCGGCATTATTTTTGTAGTGTACTCTTTACGACCGGTTTTGCCTTGTGGCAATCGAAGTGACGACACTCGGCCAGAAGTGGAGGTGCGCGACGGTCTTATACGGTGGTAAGGTTGTCGCTCGTTGTGAGGTTGTCGCGCAATCTCAATACCACTTTCAAGCGCTAGCTACACGACTCATAGTCTACATCACGTCTTGTGTAACGGTAGCGGCAAAACGGGCTGACAACTCGTTGTGAGTTGCGCGTCCTAAAGGCGCATGCATCGTTGGTGCGTTTTTTAGCCCGATATCCGGATGTCCGGATACATCGAGTAGGCTATTTTAAGCTTCAATATCCGGATATCCGGATGGTTGCCATTATCCAAAACGCACCATGAGCAGCACATCGACGGACGCCAGCAACGTGCCCATGGACCTGGTCAGCGCCTTCGACGACCATGGCGACGAGCTCGCGCATGCCCCTCCGCCTGCGAGCATGGACGTGCTCGGCACGACCTGCCTTGGCGACGAGACCGAGCTCTGCTCGCACTGCGGCATGCCGGTCCGAGGTGAAGAGCCCCACGAAGGTACAAGCACGACCTTCGATACCATGCGCTCAAGCCATCGAGGTAGACGTGTACCGTTATATCCTGCATGCGTCAGTGCGGTCGATGGCAGCTCTCGTGTGTGTCATGTTCGACGTCAACGCGATGACCCCGCGCTTCCGCCCGACATACGACCGCACGGAGAAGATGGTACACTGCTTCCCTCAGTGCAGCGTGTACAAGCACTGCCCGGCGCCGTACCAACACTCGCACGACGCTCTGACTCGCGATTCTTTGGCGGCTGCGTGCTCCGTCCCGATCTGCGCTACTTTCCAGCACGAAGGCGCTCTCAGCGACGCTCGGGCTTTTGGCTACTTCCACCACTCCGGCTTGTCCATGGACGAAGACCTCTTCTCGTTCTCGCCCGCGGAGCTGGCGATTTTCAGCAGCCAGTGGGTCGTCGGCGACGTCGAGCACCATGGCGACACGAAGACCTCGGTCCTCTTCTATGGATTTTCCAAGGACGAGGTTCTCTGGCTCCTTCCCGACGACTTTGCGCACCCCTGCAACACGCAAGGCGTCCTGTACACGTTCCGAGTGCTCCTCTACGCCAAGGTCGGTGACCTCTACGAGCTGGTGGCGTACCAAGACTCGCCCGAGTTTGCGGTGCACAACAGCGTCCGCGACAGCAAACGCAAGCCTACAGCGACATTGGCCGAGAAGAACCCCAAGCATCCTCGCGTTGCCAACGCTGTGACCTCGGCCTGAATGTCTGAACGTGCGATTGACGCCAACATGCATGTACTAGTACTCAAACTGCTATGTTAATGAATCCAATCTTTTTGGTGAAATTTAGATTAGTTGATACAGAGCACATACGTTGCGCTACGTCTGCATGTGTGGGAGTGGGTTCGTTGACGAATGCACCACCTTGTTTGTTGAGTGGACCACTTGGACGTTGGAGGCAAAGCCCGAGACGCTGCCGCTCCGGAACGCACGCACATGAGTCTCTGTAAAACCTACATCTTCCTTGGCAACCACAGCGTCAACAGCAAGAGTAGAGTACCTAATTCGACGCATTTGGCAGCGAGGATCGCCGTCTCGGTCGCTGAAAGGGCCGAGTGGCGCGCCGCATCCAGCTCTACGAGCCTGCCGTGAGACTCGAAAAACGCGCAACAAACGGTGCACCGATGGCCGCGTGGTTCTGCGGCAGAAACCGCACGCGCAGGTTCTCTTGTGGCGCCAGCCGCAAGAACGACCGGACAAAAGCCTCGGCAGCCGCGACACGCTGGAGGTGGTCCTTTGCATCTCTATATGAGGGCGACATTGGTCCCGAAACGCAGAGATGTACCGCTGTGGCGATGACGCCAAACGCGAGGCGCGACCGAAGACACGGCGACGCAGCAAAGTTCCAATTCAGCAAACCTCGTTCGTTGGCGAGCTAGACAGGTCATCGTTGGCATCAGCGCATGGACACGAGAGACTATGATGATACGTACCGCGCGGACGTCGCTCTTCGTAAGGTCTTGGAGCGGGCTCACGACCTGAAACTCGGAGGCGGCGACGAGGCCTACAGCGCCACGTATATCAGCCATCCATCCAGTAGTCGCCCCAAGGACGCACCGAGTCGAGTCGGGTCGAGCTTGTCGTCCGCATTCGTGCCGTTGAAAAGCCGGGGGTGGCCACTGCCACGGTGTCTACGACACAAACTCGCGGTTAAAGGACGTTCATCCAACGCGGAGCACGAACGTTGTGTGCACATGCGTCGCCACGTCGTTGAGCGTCGTGTACAAGTTGGTCTTGCAGTAGTAGCAGCTACGAGTACGATGTGAATCGAGTGGCCCGCACTGTGAAGCCTACCTCTGGCCTTTGTTTCAATGTAGAGCGGATCGGCGCCTTCGGTCGTCGGCGTCTCCCATAGCGGAATGCCAATGTCCGTGGCCACCTTGCGTGCGAGTGCCAGCTGCTCGGAGGGCAGCGCCGCCGAGACGCCGAGGCAGGCGACGCTGTTAGTTGGAAAGGCCTCATGAACAAGCGCAGCGACGACCGACGAGTCGACGCCGCCCGAGAAGGCAACTACGTTGAGCGTCTTCCGCGACCCGAGCGCTGCCACGTGCTGGACCATGGCCGACCACATGCTGCAAATCTTTTTTTTGCCAATCAAACGTACCAGATAAATCTCCACCAATCAAGCACCAGGATTTCAAATGGATGCGTCCCATTGGTTGAAAACGAGCCACGAGCGGGAGGAACATGCTTCGCAACGAGTTGGTGGGTTCAAATCCAGCTGCGCGCATGCTCAACACCCAGAACACTGACCCTGCTCAACACCGGCCAATTCAGCATCGAAGCAGGTGGTACAGATTCCAACGCCGATTGTAACTCCCATGCGTAGCGCCGTCTTTGACGCTTTGCGCACTGGTTTCAACGCAGAAAGGTTCGTAGGTAGTGCGTCGCATATTTGTACGAGGGTTGCAGCGCGAGGACGCTTGGCCTTCTCGGCCAGCGCCGTCGGGCCGGCCATTCATGCTTACGGTGGTCGTTGCGCACCGCAGACGCGGGTGAATCTTGGTGTGCCACAAGCACGCAGAGTTCACCGACGGTGGCGTACAGCAGGACACGACAGTGTATCGCTAGGCGGGCTAGCGACAAAAGGAAGTCGCATCTATTGCCGCCCGGCAGTCGTACCGTTCTCGAGCCGCTGGTCACGAGGCTGCATCGATATCTTTGCTTGTACTACTAGTACGTATATAGCAGCAAAAGGCCGTCTAGGAGAGGCTGTCTAGCCAGTGCGATGGAGAAACATCGACAATTATTTTACCATTTCCACATCCTTTCCCTTGTAAAACCATGTCAGCTCGATGCTCATTTACGAAATTCTCGGGTCGAGCGCCGTAGTCCGAGTCCAAGGACAATACTGTCGTGGCCGTCCTTGGACCAGGTCGCAGGGAGATGCCGAAAGGTTACTGCGGCCGATTCGGCTGCTCGCCTCGGCCCGAGGTGCCATCTCATCGTTTGTGACTAGGTGTAGAGTGATCCAGGTCAAGGCAAGCAGCGCACCTCCCGCCCTCCACGACTGCCATATCGCCACGTCCACGTGAGCTGAGCGTTTGGCAGCTGCAAGTGTTGCGTTTGGCGCGCCACGTTATTGGAAGTACTGCCAAACGTACGGATACGACAGGTGGCGCCAACGATGAACAAACATGCGATGCCATGGCGATGCCACGAGGGGGACGTGGTCGCATCCGGACGGCAAGATTCGCAGCGCGGTCATGACGAGCTGCTTCGCCACGGTGGCGTGGGCGCCGTCGTGAGCCCGCGCGGGGCGGAGAAGCCAAGCCGCGCGAGGTCAGCTTCCCGACCGAGTTTACGACGAGCCATGCACCAAGCCGTCGTCGCGTTGCGTGCTCCCAGTCGTCGCGTGTCAGGTACTGCTATACGTATATCTACTTGGCTCACGGCGGCGTGGCTAGGATAGCCGTCGCTTGGCTATTCGTCGCCATGGTCATGGTCGATGACGACCACGTGCGTCTGTCAGCTCAAGGTGCACGTGGCACGTACGAACATCGCGTGGAGAACTATCATCGTGGTTGTAGGCTGACCCAGTCCCGAGCTCGTCGACCCGCTTCTGCTGCAGATCGATATGGACATGCGTCGACAGGGAGAGCTTGGTGACGCTCAAAGTTCGCTCATCTCTCTGATCTATCTTCTGCACTGTAGATTACGCCCACACGTTTGTTTCTCTATGTGGCCTGCAACCGCCTCAAGCCATCGCGTGTCGGTACGCACTTCCTGCATCTTCAACGCATAAGATCATGGCCATGGTAGATCTGCAAGTCTCAAAAAATAGGGATGACTAGCGAGACAGTACGGTCGGTAACCAGCAACGACTTGCGTCTTGTCCATCTCTTTGGCGCCTCTTGGATCGACGTCGACGCAGCGTGCGACGGGTGCTAGGCCAGGTCCAGGCGCAATGCATGTCGACGCGACAAGAACACATGGTTGAGCATCATGGCGCCGTAGAGTGCATCAACCCCACGGCCATACAACGGCCACGTCGTCTTGCAGTCGCCGTCTTGCAGGCGGCGATCGGAGTGGCGCCAGCTTGGACCGGATCGCTCGACGCAAGTCGAGAAAGTGCATGTGGCCGTGCCGTGGATGGGACGACATCGAGGCAGACGTGGTCACACAAGTCGACACCTCACGCACGTCTGGCGGACGCGCAAGTCTGCACGCCGCTTGAACGTCTGCTCTGTTTACGTCTATCGAACCCATTGGGCGTCTACTAGCAGCGATGGATGCAATCGAAGCACACTCGCTACAAGTGACATTGGCAGCGGCGCGATCCAAATTGCTGATTCGCGTCACGTTGCTCGCCAAGCGGCCCAGCTCGCAGCTACGTGCACCTCCTTTGCTCTACGAGATAGATACACGCTAGGATCGCAACAACGAACGCGGTTTTTTCTTCGTCGACGGACGGTTTACAAAGCACTGACGCGCATGAGGTCGCGGCTCATGTTCTTGTGGTGCGACTCGTTGGTGCCGCCGCCAATTTCGAGCAGCTTCGAGTCACGCCAGAGACGCTCAACGTTGTACTCGCCGACGTAGCCGTAGCCGCCGAGCGTCTGGATCGCGCGGTCCGCCACCGTCTACACACACAAAACTCAGTTTGGCAACGGTGATGCTGCGCACAAGCCTACCTTGGCCATGTCACCGCAGTAGAGCTTGACGCCGTCCGTATCGACGCGGTTGCCCACGGCATCGAGCTTCATGAGGCTAAACACGTGGTGAGCACGCCTGAAAAATGCAGAAAACGAGTCGTACCGCGCCGTGTTGTACGTGTAGGCGCGGCCAGCCATGTACTCGGCGTACGACTTGGCAATGTTGGCCTGGATCTGGCCGTAGTAGTTGAGCGGCTTCCCGAACGCGACGCGGTCCTTGGCGTACGCGTTCATGACCTCGATCGACCGGCGCGCAATGCCCAAGCTCATGGCCGCGAGCGTCACACGTTCAATTTCGAGGTTGCGCATCATGCAGATGACGGCGCTGCCTTCCTTGCCAATCTACAA